AGATGACTTCGGTTGCTCCAGGCTATCCGAAAAGGCCTGGAAGACTGAAAACCAACACGTCTGGCTGTTGCGACTGGCATTTGGACAAATAGACAGCTCCACATTTCGACAAATGCTCAGTGCGTATGTTTGTTCCCATGTCGGTTACGTAATTCAAGCCTGGCATCCATGGCTGAAACACGACCTTAATGCACTGGAGCAGCCACAACCTCGGGCATCTAAGAACGTAATTGGAACGCGCAATCTTTCATGCCAGGATAGGCTGCAACGATTGGGCGTATTCAGCGGAAGCAATCGTAGACTACGAGGCGATCTAATTATGTCATACTTGATCCTGCGAGACCGGAACATCATGTGTGCCGCCCTTTACTGCGACTCAGCACCAATACAATCCTGAGGGGCTACTCAAAGACACTCGCAGAACAGTATAGCCGCCTGGAGTGCCGCAGAAATTTCTTTTCCATTCGTGTCTGTCACTCGTGGAATGCTCTCTCAGAATCGGTCGGCTCTGCACGGACATTAGCAGTATTTAAAAGAAAGTTAGATGATGCACACATCCACTTATACTTTGTCACTTTGCGCTACGTCTCCATCCTACACCTGAAGTTTGCCATGGATTTATTTGATGTTAACTGTTGGTGATGCTAATCTAAACTGATTGCAGGACTACAGCAGAGTAAACGAAAAGTCCTTATTTTCATATTTAAGGTACTAACTGTGTTATTATTATTATTATTATTATTATTATTATTATTATCAGTTCGATATCTCCATTAACTATCCAACAGGACTTATAAAGCAACGCTTCCTAACCCGTATAAATGCATCGTTCATTGTTCGTACTCTATGACAAGTAGGTCAGCAGGCTGCATTCGCACGCAAGTTAGACACGCTGAGTAATGACGTGTGTTGCTGAATTAGCTGCACCGAGTTGTCCTCTCGCTATTAGTGGCGCGCATCCGGAGACGCTGATGCGGCGACCTCTGGCCAAACTGGATTGCGCATTGTTCTCAGCTCCAAGATTGAGCCACCGTTGGTTGATTGAATTCCCGTGAGCAGCCGTTTGTGTGCAGTCGGTTTGACGACAACAACTAAGGTTGATCAACGAAGTAGCACTAAATGCTGTTTGTTTGTGGTTTCAGTCTATTCCCCCACTGACTGCAGCTCTGATACTGCGAAAAACGCTTTCTACCAGGAATTGAATATGTTACTAAGCAGTGTTAGCAGTTCAGAGAGCATAGTTCGTGCAGTGAATAAGAATGTGCAAGTAAGTCTTCTAAGCACTTCAGAAGCTTTGCTAGGCGGTAAATATGGACATCGAACGGATGGAAAACAGCGAGCGCCTGCTACAGCTGTATGCAGAACTATAGCCGTTTCTTATTACTATCGCTTTTAGATACAGTGGGCGCCGAAGCGCCACTTGGCGTCCTCCTGTAGCTGACTAGCGATGGACTCAAATAGATTAAGCAACAGTATGTGGTAGTTAGAAGGGGCGAAAAACATGCCGAAGCGAACAGATCTGTATGTGAGCCTATTCAGTTCCTACGCAAAGAGAGCTTCCACATTCGCATACCACAGCCTTGCTAGTTGATCACTCAGCAGAACATCCATGCCAGAACGCGCCAAGAGAACAGGATAGTCTATGGTCATATTGATAACAGAGGTGAATACGAAAGAGATAACCTTGTTACACGTTACTGGTCTCTGGAACTCCAAAGGTAGCCTCCTGCACACCCTTACTCCGCCTCGGGAGTAGTGTTAGTGTAACCACAGCACCACAAGCTGGTACGATGAATAGAGTCGAAAGCGTCTTTCAAATCGGGGAAAAGCACCATCACCGATCATCTGTATACGCGTGCTTGTTACAACACTTGAAAAAGGGCAAATATGTGACCAAAGTGGCCTTGGCTATGGCGAAAGCCAGTCTGACTTTGACTGATTCAGATTGCGATGGGCAGTGAGCAGACACAGAATAACACACATGAGAAGTTTTGAGTTTATCGAAATAAGCCAATGGCCTACGCGATTTTCAAACTAGGTCATCTGATCATTTAAGAAGATGACGATATCAGATAACAATCGTCAATATGAAGACATCTCTTTGATTTTCGATAGAGAGGTTTGTGAAGCGAGCAGAATAGCCACCAATAAACCACTTCAATATATGGAAGGATAGAGGCATCAGCAGTACGCTAGTACGCAGTACCGACGCTTCGCTGTCGCGCAAGCACCACCAGTTGCATGCGGGCTAAGGGTACTGCTAGGGTCACCCGGTCCCTACGCAAGCTCGAACTGGCACCCTTGGGTTACAAGGTTAGCATGTGATCCTTAAAGCTACGGGTCAGCCTGCAGGTAGTTAGACGAAGCCGCGTGGTGACCAGCCGATGAAGTGGTTGAGGGGCATGAAGAAACCAATCGAGCGAATTAGGCTTGTGTGTGTCGTTTTCTTGGACAGACAGGCATGCACCAGCAGTATGCCAGTACCGACGCTTCGCTGCCGCGCAACCACCATCAGTTGCATGCGGACTAAGGGTACTGCTAGGGTAGCCCGGTCCCCAGGCAGGCTCGAACCCGCGCTGTCAGATTACAAGGCAAGTTTGTTACTTTTAGGCTACGGGCCGAGTTATATATGGAAGGATAGACGGAGATTGTTGGGTTCAGCAGCTTTGTTTCGTTCCAGCAGAGCGATTCAATGCCAGACGGCCAGGCTCCACGTGATCTCGCGTCATAGCAAACGATAGCGACACAACAGGTCTGCTGAACTGTTTCTCAAAACGCTCTGTTCAGTAGTCCAATCGGTGTGACAGAGAATGGATCAAATGCCCACCTTTCGCAGTCACCGTTTTTTTAGTCGAAGACTTAGTTGCATCCGTGGTTGGAATACGCTGGAACATTACCCGGCTTTTGCAATCGCACTGGGTCTTTCTATCTCAGTGAACATGAGCGTCTCACTAACACTCTCAATCAGGATGTTACGGACACGCTAAAACGGAACGATCAACAAAACCTGTTCACGTGCTTAGGTCCAACGGATTTACGCCACAGAAATCCATTCCCGGTTCCAACGGATCAAGTTGGGGCATAGTACAGGCATCAGAAGTACTCCGGTGCACTGTATCGACTGCCACGCAACCGCCAGCAGTGGTGTGTGGACTGCGTATACTACGAGGTCATCCTAGTCTCCGCGGATTTGATCCAGTGACCTCCAGATGACTATAAGGCAAGTGTGTAATCATTTCGGTCACCGGTACAAAAAGCGTCAATGGCGTTCTTCATGACACACTTGAGATAATTCTAATCGGTATTCGGCCTAGTCACACATCCACCACCGACAATTCGTCATCAAAGTTATAGGAACAGAGCTTAACACTGAACCGTGAGTCAAAGTTACGGGTGGGAAGACAAGCTGTTAGGTGCTTTGTTAAAGCCAGAGTTTGAACTGACGTGAGCCCAGGTCACCGTGGAGTTCTGTTGGAACCAGGTGGAGCAATGTGAACGTTTGTGCTGAAAAGTGAGGTTGCTAAGGTCGAGGTTGCGCTTAGCACACACCTGAGGGATTCGATCGCCAATGTCGGTTCGGTTTGTGTGGACCGAAACGGTCCACTTGGGCATCCGTACCGTCAAGACCAGTAATGATATCCGTATTCATCGTCAGGTGAATACAAGATGAGCCGCAGGTGTGACTCATCTGTGATTCACTCCTAGCTGCAGTCCGTCGGCGCATGAACGAAGACGATGAAAAGGTATATTGTTTTCCGACAGTGCTTACCAAACCCAATAGAGTTCCGAAGTTGAACAGTGCATATACGGCTGTTTACTGCGATCCATCTGAGCAGATCGACTCCAGCATATCTACTAAAATGTCTCCAGTGATCTATTGGGCATCGCCACGGATGCGAGGTGTGTACTTAAGACTAATGGATTCGGAACGAGACAGTCGAAAGTTCGTTGGGATGCCGATACGTCGCATGCGTGTTTTACTGACACAGTATACATAAATTCAAGAGAGCGAAGGCTCGCGCCGTTAGTTGATCAATGTGACCTAACTTGTTGTTGTTGAAAGAACCAATGTGGAATGAGGTTCTTCATTTGGAAAAGACGTTAGAAGCATAGCCAGTATCATCAGCAAGCTTTTGCCCTTTACCCAGGAGGGAATGATCTGATTAGGAAGAAAACGGTGATACTTTTTGGGCGCCCATTCCGAGGGATAGATTGTGTTTGAGGTGCTTTATATAAATCATTTGACTCAAAAGTCTGACTCGTGAGCTAGTGGCATAAATGGGTGTTGGCTAGAGAGAGGCCACTTATAATCATTGACTGAAAACCCTGACCGGAAAACATCAGAGAACACGAACTGGTTGGGATCTGCCACAAACATCCCTAAACAATTTACATACATCTTCGAACGCATTTGCGACAACGGTCAATAGCAGGAGGAAACTGGTGGCTTTGATCAGTTTTGCTAATGCCGCCTAGCACGAGGAGAGCGGTAGCTAACCAATGACAAGAGCGCTGTCATTCTACTATCAGGGACAAATTTCGGCGCTCGCATTCTCTACGTAAATCGAGGTCGGCTTATAAACCGTAGACTGAAACTTATCATAGTTAGGCTTTGATAGGAGATTCCCACTTTCCCAAACCGTACATGAAGAGAGCGTAGGGACTGAATTCGTCCGAAATATAACAATTGGTCATTTCAGTGGGAAAGTTGCTATGAAGCCGAAAAGGTGTCACTCAGCAAAGTCTGTGACATCGCTGGGGCACACAAATCAGCGCAGAAATAGACTTGCGAAGCCAAGAAAATAATGACTGCAATGAGATCAGAGTGAGGTCCTGATAATATACAACAGGCAAACAGTCATCCCGAAGGTTAACGGCCACGTGAATAATGATACTCTGCCGAAAAAGAACTAATGTTTAAAATACGTAAATATCGGTTATCCAGGATATCACGGAGACTAAAAGAGGACGCTGTCTCGACGACGCTGGGCAACACTAACCGGTGGAATGGTCCTCTGGGATCTGTACGTCAAACTGATGACTAGTGAATTTCTCTGGCACACTGAACGGTTTGTCAAGGGTAATGGAAGCACATTCTTTCTGTGGATCAATTAGGAGCGAAGGACGATCGTGATCCATGGCACCGCAGGTTTGTAACGCAGCAAATCCAGTGTGTTTGTACGCTAGGTTGGAGAAGGAGCTGGGCAGACCGGGAAGTTTCATTTCGGGGACTTGAGCGAGCTGAGCCCATCCAGTCATCGGAGAGCTGGAAGTTCCATCCGAATGATTAATGAATAATGGGCCGAGTGATGTTGCGTGTTCGTCCGCATCCAAGGCGGACAAACAAAACAGACCGGTGATTGCCAAACAGTGGGACCTGAGAAACGAGAAATCGCAAACGGATCTCAACCACGTGATAATGCCAGTACGGTATGATGGATCGATGGAACATGTGTGTACCGATCTCTTCGCAGCGAAGACATGCTAAGTACGGATGAGGTTAGGAGAAATTTAGACGCATGAAAGAGATTGTAAAAGGAATGCTTATGCAACATACGATGCGTGCTTCCAGTAGGTGATTCCTTTGAGACATCACACATATCTAAATTACTAGTTTTCGGGTGGCGCTAGCCTAAAGTACATTGGGTGGGAGATCTGTGGTGTAGCGGTTCAAATGTTGTGTTTGAGACGTCTGCGCCCCCCACTAGAAGAATCCCAGTCCGCATACCAGAGCTTGCGCCTGCATGACATAACCACATAGCATACTGCTGACGCCGCTTCTTTGCTCCTAGTGGCATTGTTGGGAAAGTTTTAGAAAAAACGCTTGAGGGATGAGTGAACTGAAGGTATGTGTGGCGAACTGATGCCCCTGTTGTATACAAAAGAATACGGGTGCACAGTGGTAACATTGTGTGAACAGAGTGACCAGTTAACACGGCGTATGTGGAACGGAGGCCATTTACGTGAGGTGATACAATCACCAGGCACATCTTTGATTAAAACAGTCTATGTCGAGTAGAACAGAAGTGAAGTCAAAACAAATGAATTAACTAGAGATGAGGCGGAATGGGAGCGGTGGGTGCGTGAAAGATAAGTTGGCATAATGAAGGACGAAATGTGCCGTGATTAGTCAAACACGGACAGTCGACGTGAGGGATGACTAGGTTAGATATATGAAGCAAGATGTTGTGAATAGGTAATAATGAAAAAAAATGTTCGAAAAAACAACAGGTTGCTTAAAAGGAAGCAGTTGTGGCGAATAACTGGCTACCAGATGATTCACAGACCCATGACCTGCGCGAAATGTTGAAGACAAGCCCTGCAAAGGTGGGCTATGAAGTAAACACTCACTGGCAAATCGGATCCTCACGATAAAGCTCATTCGAGAATAGATCAAAAGAAGACCAGTCCCCGTCGAGTGGCCGACATTTCGGATAGGCGAGGACGCAAGCCAAGTATTTTGCCAGCTCCACACAGCGCAGAGCAGTATAAGCCAGCCGCATTGGTTGGGAGCCGTTCGAAGAGATTGGGCTGTCCAACGGAGGAAAGCGGGAAGATTGCTCACGGACCAGCAGATCATCCCAAGCATTGAACAGCTGGGCCAGTGCACTCTCGGTGATATTGGCGACGTAGAGTCGGGAACGAGCCACCAAATAGGCCGAGCCCCTGGGATGAGGCTGCGTGCTATCCAGATAAGGGGAGCACACGGCTCGCTGTTGGAGCGTCGCTGAGTATGGCTGGCAGTAGGAGCTGACATAGGCAAGGGAGCGCAAACGGAATGATAACCGACATGGAGTGAGATACATGAAAAGACGTGCGGTAGGGAACGATCGTATGATATCACGGGAAAGGAAGCTATTTGTAAAGAGATTGTACAGAGAGACAAGTGAAGCATGACAGAGAAAATCTAACAAGATGAGTGAACGTAAATGCGTGTAGACAACAAAGGACTCACAGAGGTCCTGGATCTCTCGAGTGGGTCACTCACCTCGTTGGTACTCCGTGGTCGAGCGCCCACTCCTTGGAGCCTGTGAAAAGTGGGTGCAAGGTGGCATAAAAACGCTGTACCAGGTCGAATGTGAGGGGAGCAACGACTAACCAGACAGGAACAAAGGTATTCAGTGGAAGAAATGAGTTGACAAAGAGTCGAGACAGCGAGAGCCGAAGAGAAACTGGGTAAAGTATAGATCGTGCTCGATCGATGTAGTACGTAATAAGAGCAACGCTTTCTGCGTCCGATGACTTGGATCTGGAAGCAGGATATGAGATTATGCGAATCAGATCTTGATAACCGCACTGAAAATGCTGCCCGGTTTGGAAACGAAACATCTGCAACAAAAATGCCCAACTCGGAGAACAAAGAACCATCATCAACAATTCGGGTAAGATGCAAAGTGATCCAGCATTCGAAGGGGACGAACTCCAACGAGCACATATGTTGGACTCATTGGAACATCATGATCATCAGCTGAGAAACACATCAGGTAAGAATCACACCTCAACTATTGTGCCGCAATACCTAAAGATAAGACAAATGAAAAAAGCAAGATGCTGAAAATTATAGAACGCCTAAAAACAGGCGACAGACTACATAGTACCATATCATACGTCAAGAGGGAGATCGAAGTTGGAGGGGGAAGATCCGCGGGATGGTGAGAGAAAAAGAAAGTCGCAACATAAACTCAAATGAGGTCGGATCCTTGCGAAGTCAACTATTGTATCCAACTAAAGTTATTCATGTTCTTTCGAATCCCCGGCAGTCAGTAGAGACACACCAACCGACGCTAACTTTGAAGTCAGGGTTTCATTCCTCTCGACCAAATTATCGCTTGGCCACCCCTCTTCTCCCATCCACATACCGGCGCGAAAACAACGCAAGTCGCGGGAGTCACTGAGCTGACATACGCAACAAGTGGCCTATACATCGGAGCCTGGTGCGTGATATAAAAGTGCTGAGCGGTTCACTCGCTCTTCCTGCACCAAATACACGACGCCGAACACGCTCATTGTTCACGCGGTGATCTCACCAGACGCGAGCTCAGCTGCGAAGGCAACTATGATCGAACGTGAGTAGCCTCCTTATGTCTTGCTGGGTCAGGTTTCGCAACCACATAGTACGGTTGAAAGAGCGGCTGCATTGTAAACTCTGCACATCAGGGTAAGTGATATCGCGCCGGAGTCATATATGGCGAAGATTGGCAAAAACGCCTCGAGCTTTTGCAATGCGGTTCGTTCTCTCATCTTCCGTTCCATTGGAGCTGAAATAGCTGCCTAGATACTTGAATCTATTGACGACTTCCAGGTGATCGCCATTAAGGGTCAGCGCAGGGGTGGCCCCTGCCAATATTGGAGAAGGACTTTGCACTTCCAGGCTGCAAAGCATAGCCAAAAACGACTGACAGCCAGTGCTAACTTGATCAGTGCCACTGGGCACCTATGAAAGCTGTCAGAGATAAAGGCAATGTCGTCGGCGTAATCCAAGTCAAAAAATCGTTCCGTGATAAGGCTTCTTCTTTCCCTCTGCTCTCTGCCACTGACAACTGTTGTACTGCTGCTAGCTGCCCTATGAGACTGCGACTGTCTGACTTCTCAGTCACGCACCCAGCCAACCGAAGGAATACAAAAGGCCAGAACTCGGTAGACAGAGAGTGGATCTACAAGAGAGGTTAAGTCTATTTATTGGTAACCGAAATATGCCAATTTAGGAGGTCAAGGTCGCTCACTAGTCCGCGTCTGGTTTTCAGCCACTCCACGGGTTAATCATATTGACGGAATAGTTCGATTCCTTTGAGGCAGGCTGGTATTCACTGGCCGATCAATTCTCACTCGATTCCCAAATTCAGCTGCGCTTGCGTCTTTATTACGTTTGCCTGGCGGCAACTCCACGCCTTGCAGATCGTGTCCAGTGAACGCAGTTCCCATGATCTCATCGACGGAGAAGTTAAAAAGGAAAGATGACAGCGGACAACCTTGTTTCACACCGTTGGAGATATTGAAGGGTGGCGACAGCTTGCCGTAAGCCCTCACACTGCCCGAACTATTTACGTACAGCGCTCCCATGACCTTTAGATATTTCACGGGCACACCCGTCTTCAGTAGATAGTCCCAGAGGGCATATCGATCAATCGAATCGAAGCTAGCTTTGATGTCAAAGAACACGACTACAGTGGCTCACTGGTATACATATAGTGGCGCTCCGACAATTGACGTTGTGTGAGGATGTGATCAATACAGCTGCGACTTCGATGAAACCCGGCTTGCTCCTCACGAATATGGCTTTCATGTGTGGGAGCAAGTCTTTGAAGAACGACAGAGGCGAACATTTTAGAAGCAGCTGAGATCAGACTGATCTTTCTAGGATTGCCGCATTCAGAACGTGAGCCAAGCTAGAAAATTGGGACTATAACAGAGCGGCTCCAGTCCGTCGGGACAATTTCCTGCTCTCACAGTTTCACTAGTAACTCGTGTAAATCATCTACAAGAGCAGGTTCACCGAATTTGAAGAGGGCTGGGGGAATTCTATCTGGGCCTGCGACCTTTGCGCACTTTCAACAGTGGGATCTCACGTTCGAGCTCTGTGCGAGAGGGCGGATCCAGGTGGACGGCCCAGGGAGAAGGACGAACGATGGCAGAAGGAGCTGGTAACTCTAGATGATTAAACTGCTATTCAAGGTGTATGGCCTAACACTATAAATGTTTTGACAAACTAGGGATTAGCCGTCCATCTTTATCACGTATGATCTCGGTAACACCAGGTCTGGTTCTGCCTCTTTCGCGTCTAAAGCGGAATAATTTCTGATGGTTACCAAGGGTAGCAGCCATTTCCATCTCCGATGGATGATGAGAACACCATGCTTCGCGGTCTGCCTTCAGGCTAGCACGCAATTTCTTCCTGAGGTCTTTGCGATTCGTGTTGTGTTCGCTTCCAACCGGAATATGTCGGAAAGCATCCAAAAGTTCCAGAGACTGTATAGAGACCCAATGTCCAACTTGGCAACTTGATTTGTTGCATGAAGACATGCCTGCTGCTAATAACGTCTAGTGAATATGCGACCAGTGGCCCTCTGATATGTTCATAGAGCGTCCAGATGCCAGAGTACTTCAATACGCATTCAGGACATCTGGCTTCGCCAGTTGGCATGTATCTATGCGTTCACAGCGACGACGCATGCGCCCACCGAAGCAAAATGCAAGATCGGCACAAACGGGTTCGTGGTCAGAGTCCATGCTCCAAATTGAGCGACTGTTTTGGACACAACCTTCCCAGAGGTAAATGATTATGATGGGGTCAATTTGCGTCCATGGCTGGCCTGAGGCAGGTGGGCGCCATGTCACCCTTCTGTGGGTGCTGTGTCGGAAGCTAGTGTTCGCGAGGAACAGACGATCATCTTCACACAGGTGTAGTAACCGCTCACCGTTATCACAACGGGAGTCTACATCGTGTTGGCTGCCCAGAAGAAGCTCATCAGTGGACAGCTTCCCAACTTGGGCGTTTAAATCGCCATCCAGGATCATAGTATCCCTACTTTTCCTGTGACGAAGGAACTAGTTTAGTTAGTGATAGAATTCACCATCCACCGAATCCGCGATACAGTTTGTGGACGCGTCGGCCGCAGTGTCAAACAGGCACTGGTTGTCTACCTTTGACAAATTTGCGTAAATGGGCTGAGAGGATTATCAGCGGAAACCGTGTTTGGCAGAGGAGATGGAGTTCGGGAGAAGCGGTAAGTTTCAATGAAGCGAATAAGTGATTATCAGCCCAAATGGTACAGGTTAGCCCAACATGTCAGCTATGATCAAATTAGAAAAGTCGAAGGATCCTGTTGCTTTGACTCACATCGCCATGGTTACAAGAAAGATGGGAAAAGGGAAGAGGAGAATGAAAACGTCGGTCATGCAGCTCTTAAAAATGGACTACTGTTGTAGTGAATAGAGGAAGAAATAGATCGCCAGAGTGAAGGGTTGATGATTGTCTGTGATGAACTGGAAACATCCACGACATCCATGGCAAATGCAACCAAGCTGCTTTTAGATCCTACTACCCGTCAACTCAATGGCGTTCACTAGTATGGGTCAGGAGACATCGCTTGCTACATAATATCGTTGCTAACAATGATTTTCATCTTCTCACTAACCAGCCAGACCAGTGTGAACGGAATCAGTACATGGACATCGTGATATTAAGATCGATGATACCAGTAGTTGTCTTCCACATACTTTTTCATTACAGCAACCCATGAAAGGAATAAATGTGCGTCACTGTAATAGTCGGTAGGAACCCTGCTCGTAACAATCGACAAATCACCTTCTTTTAGACTGGTTATAAGTCTCGGAACAATTTGAGAAAGCAATGAAGCGAGGAGAGATATAGGCAAGTACACTACACATCCTGCAATCTATGTCGCATCAGGTATTTCCAATGAGTCGTGTAAACAGGAAATGAAGGTGCTGCGTTGAAGCAATTCATCAGAAGCAGATTATTTTGCGGGATCAGAATCGAACTACGCCGGATAAACAATGGTCCCACAGTGGAGACGTCAGATAAAACGCAGTCACGGAATGAGTAGTACTGTTGTAGTCGTTGCATTGTTTCCGAGGTTCAGCTATAGTCCAGTCGATGCTATGGTGCAATATCCTTGAAATATTATCAACATTATCCCCATTAGTGTTATTTTGTAACATGAGTCAAGGTAAGCAGATCTACCGCATTTGATCCAAATTGACAAAGTAAAGTAAATAATACCATATCTTTTCTTAACATCATAGACTGATTTCTAAGAGATTGGTGAATTCGTGCAACAACTAGTCGAAAATATGGATATCGCTGAGCATAGTAGAGTGAACAACATCGGTTTCTTCAGTGCGTAGTATGCAGTTTAGGACGAATTAACATAAACTGGCAGAAAACCACTGAACTGTGCACCGCGTAATTCATAAAGTGAACTTGATTGCATGTTTAGTAAACATTGTCCTCATGATGCACATCACCATCTTCCGAAAATTGAGGGAATAAGCTGAGATAAAGTGG